CGTGATGCAGAACCGGAGAAATAGCATTATATCCCCACGTTCAGTCAGCAGCAAATTGGGTTCATCGGTGGTGGGGGTAAGGGACGACAAATCAACAAAGAAAAACAACTATAGTATTTTATAAAGGACAGTTTGGCACTACTTCAGACGCATTGTGCCTATAGTTGAAAAAGAAAGAAAGAAAGAAAGAAAGAAAGAAAGAAAGAACCATTTTCCACGCCCTCAGGCGTGCCGAACGTTTAATGCTAGTGCTATGTTTATAGACCAATTGATACACGATAGTTGATGCGGTGAACATCCTGCCTGCCGCAGGTTCTTACAGCTGGTCAATGAAAAAGAAGAAAAATAATGCAATTAACAACAGACAGGTTATATTGTTAATTACCGTATGTTTTGGAAAACGCTGTCTCTTCCTGTTTTGTAATCACCGTTTGTGCAGTTAATGCAACATATACTGCTATGGCCTATCTGATTTTGGATCCTGTTTTCTCACATTAAAGCTCTATTCACAATCGATTCTGCTGGGTAAATTCCTACCAGTATTAGAATGAGGCATCAGAAAATGACATAATAAATTGTTAAACAGTCACATTCTAACACCTTCCATCGTTAAGGAAAACATGTTCAAAAAAAAATTATCTTTCTTCAATAGTTAACACTATTATAGCTAAAATCACTTACTAAAACACCGGTATATAGCAGTGATATTCGAAACTAACGATTACAAGGTGCTTGAAACATGACGTAATACATCAATTTTATTACGGTGCGCAAATAATTTATTTCAAAGAGTCTACAGTCATTAAAACATACACCCTATATTTCGCTCTTTGATCGCCACAACTTTCTAGGAAACGGACGGACTGACGAATAAACGAACGAACCTAATCTCCAACGAGTCACAAATTAGGGCCGCAGGACGGTCTTACAATTGGCCCTTTCAAACAATTATCTCTAAAACAGCAAACTTTCATAAAATGTAGACACACCCCACCTCCAAACTGACCTTTATTTCCATTTGATCTGCTACCGTTTCCGTCATCGCTCTCTCCTGTAGTTTGCTAACTTTCATGTTCTTAATTTCATTACAGGTAAATTCAGGCCGCGTGGGAGTTTCCAGACATTTACGTATTTGTACTTAGATCCCCTGATGTCTTTTGCTTTTATTTATGTTACGTTTTCTTTCATGTTTTTAATTATATTAAAATTTTCTTTGGGTCGTCATTACCATCATCACCGTCGTTTACTTTATCATTTTCACCATCACACCCATTGTGCTTCTTCTTTGCGCTCACCGGCTGTAAATTCTGGAGGGAAATTCTGGTTGTTCGTCCATCTCTCGAGTTGAGTCTTGTTCCAGAACCTGAGTGTTGCGTGCACATCCGTTTTTACATATCTGACTTCTTTGTATACAGAACGTTGGTTCCTTGTGTCTCAAGCAGATGCACTCGGACTTTGAAAACAAACCTTAATTAGTTGACTCTTACGACATACTTGTTGGGGAGGCAGTGAGTCTAGTCTTGTTTTCCCCACAATAGTGAGTTACGGCACTTTTGTAGACACTGTGTGGTAAATTAGGAAGAGGAAATGCAACCTGAAAACGTTGTGTTATGGCAGGGCAGACCAGGACCTTAGCCTTGGCTGGCAAGCTGATCTAGGAGGGAAGCCCTGACAGGCAGACAGAGTACTGGTCTTCTGATCTGGCAGCTTCGACAACCTGCCTCGTTCCAAACGTACTGGTTTTACCTTTCCTTTGGAGTAAACAAGACAGGTCAAGAGAGGGATCATTATGCATGGGCAACATATGTTCTCTACAATACTGCCCATGCTCTGTGCTATGGAGAGGAGGAACTTCAACTGGAAAGAGCAGGTACTACAACAATCTTTTCCACGCTCAGTCTACGAAGGCTCAGGTGGCTGGGTTACACCTGGAGAATGGAGGATGGCAGAGTCCCTAAGGACATTCTTTATGGCGAATTAAAGACAGGAAGAAGATGTCGAGGCCGACCTCTACTACGTTATAAAGATGTATGCGAGCGGGACATGAATGATACAGGTATTGAGGCGGACTCATGGGAACAAAATGCCATGGACCGTGTTGCGTGGAAAGGGCATATCAGGAAGGGAATGAGACTGAAGGAAGAAATGATTGCAGAAAGGATGAGAGCTGAGCGTCTGAAAAAAAAACGCATTAAACACAAATGTTGTTAACAATGGTCCTGAAATCCCATGCTATCATTGTGATAGACTTTTCTTGACACAGTCGGGTCTTGCTAGTCATACTCGCCATCGCCATTGGCTGTAAGTCTCATGACTCCTCATAGCGCAATATAACACTATCGTCTGGAAAGACGGAAAGGTGCCAATGATTGAATGAATGTGTGGTAAAAATTGACAGTTATTTTAGGCATTGTTTGTTGATCGGGGATGTAATATACACTTTATGGCGGGTACTGGTGGTACCTTTGTTCCGGGGGGAGGCAAGGGGGGGGGGGGTCCTTCTACCATCACAACTAGCGGTCATAATATCATTTCCCTGTATGGGTTCCGGGGGGAGGGGGTCCTTCTACCATCACAACTAGCGGTCATAATATCATTTCCCTGTATGGGTTCCGGAGGGAGGGGGAAAGGGGGGGGGGGGGTCCTTCTACCATCACAACTAGCGGTCAAAATATCATTTCCCTGTATGGGTTCCGGAGGGAGGGGGAAAGGGGGGGGGGGGGGTCCTTCTACCATCACAACTAGCGGTCAAAATATCATTTCCCTGTATGGGTTCCGGAGGGGGGGGAGGGGGGAGGGGGGTCCTTCTACCATCACAACTAGCGGTCATAATATCATTTCCCTGTATGGGTTCCGGAGGGGGGGGGGAGGGGGGAGGGGGTCCTTCTACCATCACAACTAGCGGTCATAATATCATTTCCCTGTATGGGTTCAGGGGGGGGGGAGGGGAGGGGGGGTCCTTCTACTATCACAACTAGCGGTCATAATATCATTTCCCTGTATGGGTTCCGGGGGGGGGAAGGGGGGGGGGGTCCTTCTACCATCACAACTAGCGGTCATAATATCATTTCCCTGTATGGGTTCCGGAGGGAGGGGGAGGGGAGGAGGTCCTTCTACCATCACAACTAGCGGTCATAATATCATTTCCCTGTATGGATCCGGGGCCTCATTTTGGAGAAAATAAGAACAGACTCACTGCTCTCCTAACAAGCATGACGCAAAAGGCGATTAATAATGATTATTTCCTTCGATGTCGGAGTACCCCTGTCTGACTGGCGATAAACCAATAGTCTGCATATAAATCAAGTTACATGTCCTAAATAGATGTACATTCAAACTCAGTTTCTGGAACAAGACTAAAGTCGAGAAGTGGGCGAACAACCAGAACTTTTCTCCAGAGTTAACAGCCAGTGAACGCACAGAAGAAGAAAAAGAAGAAGGATAAAAGTATCAAAAATTAAGTTATCAAAGGCGAAATTATCATCATCAGTTACAATAATTACCATCACCAATCAAGTTATCGTCAGCAACTCTCATAAAAGTGCCGCTCTCTTTCAAGTATGACGCTGGTAGTGCTGTCTGTCCACAACCTTCTGCCGTCTATACTTTCAATCTTCCATGACATGATGCCGAACAGTCCAGCATATTCTCTCTCTCTCTCTCTCTCTCTCTCTCTCTCTCTCTCTCTCTCTCTCTCTCTCTCTCTCTCTCTCTGTGTGTGTGTCTCCCTCTATCTCTTTTCCTCTGACTGACTGACATTCTACCCCACCAGGACATCACACAAGCGATAAACACCCGATGACACAATGTGCCACCATGTGGATGAGGATCACCGTGGAGAGGTCCCAGAAACCGCGTTCAGCCTTTAGGCCATATTTATGGCCAGGCTATATTGCAGCCTCTGGCAAGAGCCAGAGTAGGGCTTCAAATAAAAAAAAATGTGATCCTAAAACGGACGGGATGTTAGTATTTTCAATCTTTTCCTCGCTAACATTTCCACCGTCACGATGAACTCTAGTTTTCTCCTTCACATGACATGACCAAAGAATATAGATAGATTGCCTCCTTTTCTGTTAATGTCCTACTGGATTAACAAAAACCAGTTATTTATTTGTCAATCTCTAATTGCCTAAATGATATATTTATATGTTGTATAATTTTCTATTTCAGTTTGCCATCGTATTCACAGTTATACCATTTCCCATATGCTACTAGAGATGTGAAACGTTGTCATCGCCATCACATAAGCGACTTCACTACACAAGATTTGCCTGTGGTCACTGTACTAACTAGCGAAGTATCGTTATTCCACCGGATGCCATATAAGTGTTGGAGCAGTGAATTGTCTTTATCGCCATGCAGCTGTGAAAAAAGTGGCATGAATGACATACGATGCCATTCGAGATTGAACACTTTCTGGTTTGCAGTAACAGCTTGATCTTCCGGCTCACTTATGATTGTGAATGGTGTAATCTGCAAAGTCTTTGTAGAAAGCTACCAAATGTAACGTTTCCGGATTCTTGTAAAAGAATACAAGGCAGAGATGATCTCTCGCTTGTGGGACGAGACAGGATAACAGACGATGATGAAAACCACAAGCTGGAGAAAGATCATACTTTTAGCGATCATTTCTAAAGTGATCATTTTTCCAAGACGTCGAAACCTTGCGTGCCTGGAGAGAACGATACAGCGAGGAGTGTTTACGAGCTTTGGAGGCTACTCGAAACTTGAGGAAAGGGCAAGACGAGTAGTTAATCTGATGACAACTGGTAGCATCGGTATGAAGACTCATCGTTGGTTGCTGAGGAGGGAGATAGTGCTCATATGGGCTCGTGCTGAATGATGTGATATCAAATCTTCACACAGATGACCCAGATTTAAGCAGAAGCCCAGTCAGCTAGCGCTTTGTGCCTACAGTCCAAGAAGCTCAAGCTATAGTGCTAGACCAAGTCTGAGAATCCAGCCAATGGAATCTGTCAGAGCTAATGTTGTCCTGTAGTTCATACAGCAAGGCGTTGGTAGCCATGTACATGTTGGTAGTCATGTACATGTTGGTAGTCATGTACATGTTGGTAGTCATGTACATGTTGGTAGTCATGTACATGTTGGTAGTCATGTACATGTTGGTAGTCATGTAAATGTTGGTAGTCATGTACATGTTGGTAGTCATGTACATGTTTGGTAGTCATGTACATGTTGGTAGTCATGTACATGTTGGTAGTCATGTACATGTTGGTAGTCATGTACATGTTGGCAGTCATGTACATGTTGGTAGTCATGTACATGTTGGTAGTCATGTACATGTACATGTTGGTAGTCATGTACATGTTGGTAGTCATGTACATGTTGGTAGTCATGTACATGTACATGTTGGCAGTTGTGTGCATATTGGTAGTCATGTACATGTTGGTAGTCATGTACATGTTGGTAGTCATGTAAATGTTGGTAGTCATGTACATGTTGGTAGTCATGTACATGTTGGTAGTCATGTACGTGTTGGTAGTCATGTACATGTTGGTAGTCATGTACATGTTGGTAGTCATGTACATGTTGGTAGTCATGTACATGTTGGTAGTCATGTACATGTTGGTAGTCATGTACATGTACATGTTGGCAGTCATGTACATGTTGGTAGTCATGTACATGTTGGTAGTCATGTACATGTACATGTTGGTAGTCATGTACATGTTGGTAGTCATGTACATGTTGGTAGTCATGTACATGTTGGTAGTCATGTACATGTACATGTTGGCAGTCATGTACATTTTGGTAGTCATGTACATGTTGGTAGTCATGTACATGTACATGTTGGTAGTCATGTACATGTTGGTAGTCATGTACATGTTGGTAGTCATGTACATGTTGGTAGTCGTGTACATGTTGGTAGTCATGTACATGTTGGTAGTCATGTACATGATGGTAGTCATGTACATGTTGGTAGTCATGTACATGTACATGTTGGCAGTCATGTACATGTTGGTAGTCATGTACATGTTGGTAGTCATGTACATGTTGGTAGTCATGTACATATTGGTAGTCATGTACATGTTGGCAGTCATGTACATGTTGGTAGTCATGTACATATTGGTAGTCATGTACATGTTGGTAGGCATGTACATGTTGGTGGTCATGTACATGTTGGTAGTCATGTACATATTGGTAGTCATGTACATGTTGGTAGTCATGTACATGTTGGTAGTCATGTACATGTACATGTTGGTAGTCATGTACATGTTGGTAGTCATGTACATGTTGGTAGTCATGTACATGTTTGTAGTTATGTACATTTTGGCAGTCATGTACATGTTGGTAGTCATGTACATGTTGGTAGTCATGTACATGTACAGGTTGGTAGTCATGTACATGTTGGCAGTCATGTACATGTTGGTAGTCATGTACATGTTGGTAGTCATGTACATGTTGGTAGTCATGTACATGTTGGTAGTCATGTACATGTTGGTAGTCATGTACATGTTGGTAGTCATGTACATGTTGGTAGTCATGTACATGTTGGTAGTCATGTACATTTTGGCAGTCATGTACATGTTGGTAGTCATGTACATGTGGGTAGTCATGTACATGTTGGTAGTCATGTACATGTTGGTAGTCATGTACATGTTGGTAGTCATGTACATGTTGGTAGTCATGTACATGTTGGCAGTCATGTACATGTTGGTAGTCATGTACATGTTGGTAGTCATGTACATGTTGGTAGTCATGTACATGTACAGGTTGGTAGTCATGTACATGTTGGCAGTCATGTACATGTTGGTAGTCATGTACATGTTGGTAGTCATGTACATGTTGGTAGTCATGTACATGTTGGTAGTCATGTACATGTACATGTTGGTAGTCATGTACATGTTGATAGTCATGTACATGTTGGTAGTCATGTACATGTTGGTAGTCATGTACATGTACATGTTGGTAGTCATGTACATGTTGGTAGTCATGTACATGTTGGTAGTCATGTACATGTTGGTAGTCATGTACATGTTGGTAGTCATGTACATGTTGGTAGTCATGTACATGTTGGCAGTCATGTACATGTTGGTATTCATGTACATGTACATGTTGCTAGTCATGTACATCCACAACCTTCTGCCTTGTGTACTTTCAATAATTTCTGACATCGATGATTTCTATCGAGACTACGTTACGCAAACATCGGCTCGATTCAGCTGAAGCAACTATATTATTAAATTTGAATGAACTAAAGGTATATTATATATAGAGAGAGATAACATAATTATCACAGTGAAATATTATACATCTAACATATTGATAGCTGACCGGCAGATATTAAGCAGACTTAACATAAAAATAAGTAGATTGCTTATAGATATATAAATAGACAAAAGATCGATAACAAAACAAGTCGAAAGAAAGCATATGGTGTAGATAATAGATATATTTAAAAGCACCAGTTATAAAATAGACAACAAAAATGAATAACAGACAGATAAAAGCTGGTAAAAAAACAGATAGGTAATCTATAAATAATACATACATAAAATAATTAGTAACAAACATATAATGACATATCTGTCAGCTGTAAAGCACCTGTCCGTCTTTCCAGGGTAGAGTGTTATACTGCGCTGTGGGGACGTTTAGGAATTACAGCTACAGCGATGACGAGTGTGACCAAAAAGACCTTCTGGTATTTTCCAAATCCAGTTAAGGCCAATCAAGATGTCCGTCTTCTCCATAGCACGAAGCCTGGACCGTAGTGTCAGAATCAGGAGTTGATGCCCTTGCTGCATGATCCATGTCTCGACCTGTTTTATTGACTCCACAGAAAAGGTAATACCAACACATTTCAAACAAAATCTGCTTCAGAAGTTATTGGATCAGAAGAGCAGTGCTCTGTCTGTCCACCAATCGAATCTTCCCTCCACCAATCGAATCTTCCCTCCACCAATCGAATCTTCTCTCCTAGGTTGGGTGCCAGCCAAGCCTAAGGACTTTGTTTGCCCTGAAGTAAATTTTCCTTTTCCTGAGATAAGGCTAGTTTCATCCCTAATGTGTTTCCCCGCCCGAAGCCGTCGGCACAGGAGTGTCCAGTTTGAAATATATCATAGTTAAAAGACGGATGAAGACTCTGATGTCAAAGATATCATAGTTAGAAGACGGATGAAGACTCTGATGTCAAAGATATCATAGTTAGAAGACGGATGAAGACTCTGATGTCAAAGATATCATAGTTAGAAGACGGATGAAGACTCTGATGTCAAAGATATCATAGTTAGAAGACGGATGAAGACTCTGATGTCAAAGATATCATAGTTAGAAGACGGATGAAGACTCTGATGTCAAAGATATCATAGTTAGAAGACGGATGAAGACTCTGATGTCAAAGATACCGTCGCATTTTACCTGACAATTTTCAAATGTGTGTCTTTGCGAACATTAGTAGAGAGATCAATGGAGAAACAGAACGACAAAAATGTGTGCTTCATAGATCACAACAAAGCTTTTGATAGAGAGAAACATGATTACATGATAACATTGTTGGAGGATATTAATATGAATGAAAAAGATCTCAGAATAATAAAAACTATTTACCGAAAGCAAGAAGCTGCAATTAAATTGGGAAATAAAGTAGGCAGTTATGAACAGATCAGGCAAGGAGTGAGACAAGGAGTTTGGTCACTAGATCTCTTCTCTCCCTCTATAGCGAAATAATGATGAGATGGTCACGGGTAGACCAGGAATACTATTAGGAGGTTATAATAGAAACAATGGTCACGGATAGATCAGGAATACCAGTAGGAGGTTATAATAGAAACAATGGTCACGGATAGACTAGGAATACTAGTAGGAGGTTATAATAGAAACAATGGTCACGGATAGACTAGGAATACCAGTAGGAGGTTATAATAGAAACAATGGTCACGGATAGACTAGCAATACTAGTAGGAGGTTATAATAGAAACAATGGTCACGGATAGACTAGGAATACTAGTAGGAGGTTATAATAGAAACAATGGTCACGGATAGACTAGGAATACTAGTAGGAGGTTATAATAGAAACAATGGTCACGGATAGACTAGGAATACTGGTAGGAGGTTATAATAGAAACAATAGTCACGGATAGACTAGGAATACTAGTAGGAGGTTATAATAGAAACAATAGTCACGGATAGACTAGGAATACTAGTAGGAGGTTATAATAGAAACAATGGTCACGGATAGACTAGGAATACTAGTAGGAGGTTATAATAGAAACAATCTTCGTTATGCATACGATACAGTATTAATAGATGAAAACGCAGAAGACCTGTAACAACTATTAGACATTGTGGTACTGATGAGTGCAAAAAAAGCAATTTCCTAGAATGTCAAAAAAACAGAAACAATGGTTGTATCAAAGTAGAAGATAACTCCAAAATGTGACATGTGATATAGCTAAAGAATGAAAGTGAATAGGCATACATAGTCAACGAAGTCATTAAATTTAAGTATTTGGGGACATTCACGACATTAGATGGATGATGTGTGACAGAAATTAAGAACAGGATTGACCAAGCAAAGGCAGCATTTCAGAAGATGAAAAGTATCCTATGTAATAAATCGCTCCCATAAAACATCAGAAAACGAGTAATGAAATCTTACATTGAACCTGTTCTGTTGTATGGCAGTGAATCTAGGAATGAGAGCAGACAAATTAAAAAGAGTTTGGAGGCAACTGAGATGTGGTTCTTGAGAAGAATGTTGAGTATACGTTAGACTGCCAGAATAACTAACAATGATAGCATGCAAATGGCTAATGAAAGTAGAACATTATATACAACAATAAGAAGGAGACATAGTTCTTTTGTCATGGGATGAGAAAAGGAGCACTGGAAAATATCGTGACGACTGGAAAGATCACTGGCAGAAGATGCAGAGGCAGCGGGTGGTGGATGGCTTAAGACAGTGGCATAAAGGAATATCATCAGTAGAATTGATCCAGAACACCAAAGACCGATATCTTGGAAGATGGACAAACGCCTACGCCAGCTGGAAAGGCACTTGATGATGGTGATGATGTATTTTGTCACGAAGTATGTGTGTTACATAAGACTGGGCTGGTGGATAATTACGAGTCGCTGATGCTAACCAGACAACGTGACTTGGGAGTGAAACCTGGCCACATGTATCTATGCTGTCTTTGCTATAACCAATGTCCTAGTTCTTAGTAGTTACATCTTGAGGTGGCTGCTGCACTGGGGAATGAAGCACGCATATGAATGTTCAATGTGTAGCGACGTTGGCAGATAAAATGATGTCTTACAAAAATTATTGTAGTATTGACACGTTTATCGTAACAGACCTAGAGGTCGACCAAGCAGAAAATGGACCGCTGAAACTTAAAAGAACTTTATACGAAGAGAAAAGAAGGACCCGTTCCAGAGATCTCTTCTTGCCCTGACACTGAGAGGAAAAGAAAGGATTGCAGTCAGACCAGTTGCTGTACTACAAACGTGGCGTGTCATCAAATTGCTTTAGAGGCAATGCACCTAAGACGTAACATCTTGAACTTATTGTGTTCCTCTTAACATTGTTTCTGATTGATTTCCTGATTGAATACAAACCCACTGGGTTTACCAGCGGGAAAGCTTGCGTTTTTTATTTAAAAGATTTTACGGACTCCCATTTTCTCATCCTTTCCGGTCCGAGGATTCTGGTTATTCTTTCTGTCTGCGTCGTGGAGGCCCTCCACACAAGAGGCCCTCCACACGGAGGCCCTCCACACAAGAGGCCCTCCACACAAGAGGAGCCTCCCAAACACAGAAGACAACCATCAACTTTTTATAAAAAGATGTGAACACAATTGTGTAAAATATGTTACGAGAAACTACGTTGTCTAAGCTTCCACAGTGGGTCTGTATTGAGTCCTGTTGGAGAATGTAAATCATTGATGTTTCACCCCACCAGGACATCACACCAAGCGGTAAACACCTGGTGACACAAAGTGCCATAATACGGATGAGGATCACACGTGGAGAGGTCCCAGAAACCGCGTTTAATCGTTAGGTTATATTACGGCCCCCGGTAAAAGCCAGGGTGGGGCTTCAAATAACGAAAAATTGTGTCCCACATGGGGAAGATGTTGTTATAATGATAATCACTCTGTCATTTTTATACATAAATGTAAAATGTCAGTAAACCTTATGAGTGGTTTTATTTTATGCACACTAGTAATCTAGTAGTAGTAGTAGATTTTTACCACACTAGGACATCACACAAGCGATTAATACCCGATGACACAAAGTGCCATCATGAGGATGAGAATCACCGTGGAGAGGCCCCAGAAACCGCGGTAAACCATTAGACCATATTTATGGTCGGGCTATATTGTGGCCCCTGGCAAGAGCCAGGGTGGGGCTTCAAATAACGAAAAATCGCATTACACAAGGAGACTGAATGTAACTAGTACTTTGCGGGACACGAAAGTTACTCAGAGTCATGTCGGTAACATTTTCTTTAGAAAAATTAACGGAATAACAATTATAGCTTTTTTTTTTTCACCTTTGATCTTGCCGAATTGTTCTTATTATTTTAATGCCCTTGGTTCCTAATCCGACCCGTCTTAAAATGGATACCAGGTAAAGTCTCTAGAAGCAAAGGCGACATGTGGTAAGTTAAGCACATCACCCAGCAAATGGCGATTTTTTTTTTTTTAATGTCTTTTGTATCACATGCCTGGAAGGCAGCTGTCGTGGAAATAGCTTTTTTGCTTTCCGGAAACAAAGAACGACCTGCCATCAATAACGGGGCCGGGGGGGGGGGGGGGAATTAAGCTGAGTATTACTGTGGCATTGCTATCTCATTTTGTTTCAGGAAATAAATGTACACAGGTAAACACTGGTGCACGCATGCACGCGCGCGCACATACACAGTCCCCGTGCGGTAGATTTCTCAGTATGATGAAAGCCTTCGAAATGCCACCCTTAACAGCTTCGCGCTTTCAGATCAAATGTTCAAACTGTATTTTGATTTCGC